GGGACAAACAAAGACTTTATCGATATTTCATTTCTGTTCTCTCATTCATTTGGCAGCGATGAAAGCCCATTCAATGGCATGGAGGAACTACACACAGTGTCTTTCCTTTGTCTGTTTCAGAATAGCTGTTATAAGTCTATTGCAAACCGAAATCTTCATGGAAGTGGGTTAATTGAAGGTTAGTGTTTCATGATAACCAATCCAGATGCATAACCTAATACATTACCTACGTTCGATCTTTTAATGTTGAAAAATGTCATCATTAAGCATGCTTATGTTGAAATCCAATCTCTGCTCTGTCCCAGCTCACTATATAAGCCGAATAAATGATGATCAAGCCAAGTACAGACTAATTGCCGTCATAAGACCACATTTATTATCTATCAATCGCGATTCCAGTAGCAACGAAAACAAAAATTCAAAAGAAAGGAAAAGAATCTCAGGAAAAATCAGCTTCTATCACGATCCAATCTCAAAAATTTTAGTCTGGTAATCAACCTAAGTTTCGAACCGAATCTAGAGCATTCTCGAATCAATGGGTACTGATAATTCTCATCGTCGATTCCAACTTGCTTTATATTTATGATCTATCCTTTTCATTTCCTGCTCTTGCAAGTCAATAATGCGGAAAGAAAGCTCTGTTATTAGAGCTCAGGATGGGCCTTATCCTCGATTTGATGATGATTGAATCAAATCACCATACTAATATTGCTTCGCAGATTACCAGAGATCAAGCAGAGGATAAGGAAGGGTTTATATAGTTTTTTTTACAGCTTCGGCTATGAGACTTGTGATAATAGTGGGCAGACTAATGCTTAAGCTTTCGCTTTAGATAAATGTGATAGAGTTTCGAATGTTACTTATTTAGAGATGGTTTCGATAGCGTAATCTTTAGCCGAATTTTGGTTCGCTAAGTTACAGGCAGTGTTGATTAACCGAACAAGTGGCACGGTAATAGCAGATCAAATCTTATATCGGATCTCCTTGTTCAAATCACGTTTACAGAGGCTAATAATTGTGGTTATTTGAATGGACTTTGTTGCGCATCCGCAAGTTGAGATTGCAGGGCTGATTCCTGTGCTTCTCGGTTCGAGTTGCATTTTGATGATTTTGAGTTCAACCTAAATTTGGCTTTAGTACTTTCATATCTCTAAACACACTTTTCGTCCAAGTTCCAGGATGACTTTGAATTGAATTATCAAAATTATTGTAATGACATACCGGTCTCGCTAACTGAAGCTCTAGCCTTTTAGGATTCAGTAAAGTGCCGACGTCGAGCATAATCAATCGTTTGAAATGTGCTCAATTTCTAGGATGTTTCAATACTAGTCTGCAAACTTTTTATGCAGAACTTCAAAGCCGAGGATGTCTACGCCGGCTCACAAATTTTAGCTGGAGAACGATATGACGTAAAATTCCTGCGCCTTGCACCCCAGGAAAAGGTCAAAAAAGAACAAAAAGAACAGATCTCAGGAACAAACCAGTATTCATCCACGTCATACCTCCTCGGATCACACAGCCAGGTTATCTGTCCACTTTCACGAACATCAAACACAGAGCCATATAAATCCGCGGCACGATTATTTCCATGGACTGGTTTTCTTCATCATAGACCTATGTGTCCCTAGACGTCGTTTTTCTCTACAATTCCCATTTCATTCTCTCCCGTTTTTGATGACGTCTTGAGCAAGCCCAACCCTGCAGGGGTATTGTATGTTTGATGGTTTGGGACTCGCTCACTTGAGAGAGAAGAAAACTTGTGGCTAAAGTTCTGGGAATTGTGTACTCTCATGTTGGTGACTCGACGAACGATAAGTAGAAAAGAATGAAATGTATGGGGGAGAGGGATTGATATATTGTATGATTGATTAGCGCTGGACTAATAATAGTCTAATTCATAGCTCGAGGCCCAGTCACACAAATTTTCAGGCGAAGCTAAGTCGGCCGAAGCCCGGTTTCTGAAAGTTTGACATGGTCGCCTGTATTTTCAAGATCCAAAATTTAACCAACGCACAAATGCTGAAAGGCTAGAACTATGCTAAATGAAGACGTTGACATGATGAGGGTGATTTGCGAATATCATATCATCAATAGTTGTACCACCATCAGATTGTGACCGGTCATTCACCAGTGAAGAATACAAGATTTCCATGAATAAAAATCGCAGCATCATTTCATAATATATTCTCTGCACCATTAATAGCGACAAGAAACATCGCTAGTAGATATTCAACCAGTCACAATAAGGAATTATCTCATAGTAAGAAGAGATAGCGAAAGCCGATATGTATATGTAGAAAACTGAGTCTATCCAACACGATTTTCTACGAGATAACTAGTGCAAGCCACCATTCCAAGCTTAGCTTTATCAACTGACTCAAGTGTCGAAGAAAGTTGTCAGAAAAAATTCAAATCCAACCTCCCAAGCCATCTATCAAACACACAGGAGTTTACGACATGCGACAAACGTCATCATCACCACTTAGCCAGGCACCAAAAAGAGGCCAAGATCAAGTAGCATCAATTAAATTTACTAACATCTACTAATGCTAATTAATTAAAGGCTGCAGGGGTTGACGACGTGCAACAATTATCTTCTGGATATTTAAGGCCAACCGGGAAGTCCAATTAGAAGCAGGAATCACTACATCTAGAACAAGACGGGAAATCTTTTCAAAATATGCCCCAGGCTTACCCCATGTTGAGATATGCAACAGAAAGCTGTTATTTGGGCACTGAGAAAAAACGAACACCTGTTAATAACCACTAAAGCGTACTAATAACTATAAGCTCAGAGTATGGTATTACTGTGACAGGGGGTTGAGATATGTAACATATACGGAAGTATACGGAGAATACCACATGTTGTAATGAAAATAAGGGTTGGAATACGAGAGGGGAAGATCTTTTGGCTGGTAGACTTTGAGGTACATAATGTATCTACAGCCCCCATGAATCCTAAAATGGAACCAACACCAGCAAATCAAGAGAGGCAGTTGCCGAATAACCCTCTGTGCATGAGATCTACGAGAATTTAAACGAAAATCCCTAGACGCACAGGAAATCTCTGAATAGTAAAATGCTATATAATATCAAGCAACTAGATGTTCATATTGAAACTAGTCAAAGAGGGTATCAACTTCTATTTTCCTTCCCAACTAAACTTTTCCGCAGTTTGCCGTTCATCTCATCCCATAAAAGTACAGACTGGTAAACGATATGTGTCTAAAACCCAGTATCTCCTTCTTACACCTTTCCATTCACCCTCGCCCTCTCCCCCAAGCTCCTCGACTTCCACGTCAACCCAATCAACATCTAATCCTGCATCGCACAGATCCAGCTCCGAGACTTTGGTATACACATCATAGCAAACTCTTCTATCTGCTCCTAGTCCATTGAAGAAACTGAATTTTCCAGTTTCAGATAATAAGCCGATGACGTATTCGGAAAAGAATTTCTTAAGCTCCATATAGGATTCTCCAAATGTATCGAAATATATAACATCAAATTGAAGATTTTCTTCGAGCAGCTTTGGTAGGATTTCTTGCCAGCGACCCGCGTGGATTTTATAGCTTCCTTCTTCGGGTGCAGATGCTTCCCATTCTTTTCCAAATTTATGACCTGGTTCTTGGAGGTGTGTAAGAACATCGGGGTGGGCTTCTATTATATGGTGGCTGGCTGGTTTTGTGGATGCGAACATCGTGTCGATTATGCCCATTCCGAAACCAATGTTGAGGATTCGTAATGGGGGTGAAGAGGAGGGGATAAGAAGATCGACAGTTTGTTTCATGATGGATGTTTCCCATGCCATCATTACACCGTTGGCGTCAGCGTCGAGAAGTGCATCTTCTGTAAATTCGAGTTTGCTTTTGAGATAATCTGCGGAATTGACGTCTTTCTTTAGTTCTTCTGGCTCGTTTTCTTTTGCTGGTTCGTCTGTGGTTTCTTCGTCTACAACTATCTCCATTCCCTCTACTTCGTCCTCCTCTTCATCCTCGTCTCCATCACTCAACTCCTCATATCCGCCCATCAAATTCATCAAAACCTCTGCCCTAACACCAGCTTCCACAACCAATTCATATAATTCCTTCCTGCCCAATCTCCACGCCAAACATCCAGGTGTCTCATTATTCGTATCTAAATCATTCCATATAGCTCCCGACAAGAATAATTCTTTAATGGTCGATTTCGCAGCCTCTATCTCTTCTGCAGAAGGAGAATCTTCACAAGATGCAATTGCAGCGTGGAGAGGTGTGAAGCCGGTCTCGGGATCTTGAACTGAAGCTGCGCCTGGTACTCGAAGGAGGGGTTTGAGGGCGGCGAGATCATGGTTGGAGGCTGCGAGGAGGATAGTTTGGGCAGTTGTATCGGTTTCGGAGGTGAATGCTGGGTCATCCATTATGAAGGTTAGTTTTATATAAACTTTATAAATCTTGAGGATTCAGAATGCTGGGGAAATAATTTTTGGAGGGGTCAATGGATTTGGCGGAGAGAGGGCGGTGGCAACTGGCAGATCGGTGTCGCAAGGGTCCGATTAATTTTGTGAACTCAATTCCTGATTAGCAACATCAGCAATTTACAATGTCTCGGCTTATCTTATGTATCTGTCCGAAAGATTTAGGAACGACACTACAAGACTTTAAGACATGAATTCGACCTCTCTAGCCCTCTCTTCGAGCCCATCAAGATGAATTGAGACCATCCAGGAACCGGAAACGTACTGCCGATTACCCCATTTTAGCTCTGCGAACAGACAAGGATCTACAAATGATTATCACAAATATAAACTTAAGAAGCTATCGTGCATATACAATTATGACTAGTTTTCAATAGCAATGATGTGTACCGTGAATATGACTCTTCTTCTTTCTACGTATATATAAGCGGTAAGTCCAATTTCTGTTGTGTTCCGATGTGATACAGATATATTGTCCTACTCGAGCTGAGAGCTTATACAAGTGTTGTCGATTGCGCACTGTGTGGGCACAAACAACGAGAGTATGTCGACCATGGAAGATATTCAGGGTCCGAAGATGGATGTTGAAAGTCAATTGGATTCGAGGATGCAAGATGCGTCGTTTCCAGCAATTGATCCCGAGATGGAGAGAAGAGTTGTGCGGAAAATCGATAGGCACTTGATGCCTTTAATCATTGGGCTATGTACGTGTTTCCTGAAACTCTGATGGACTCAATGGCATTCAACTAATCATCTTCAAAAGATCTCCTAGCATATCTTGATCGTTCGAACATTGGCAATGCGAAAATTGCTGGTATGATGGATGACTTGCATCTCGATTCTGATAGCTACGAATGGCTCCTCACTATATTCTACATATCATACATTGTATTCGAGCCATTGGTGTTAATGTGGAAAATTATCCCACCGCACATGTGGGGCGCCATAACAGTAGTGGGATGGGCATTATCAGCAACATTGCAAACTGTTGCGTTCAACTGGTCTGGAATGATGGCTGCCAGGTTTTTCCTAGGAGCTTTCGAGGCTTCCTTTGCACCAGGCATCACATTCCTGTTATCTTTCTTCTATCTCAGAAATGAACTCGGACTTCGATGTGGGTTCTACCTTGGGGCAGCTCCTCTGGCAACATGTTTTGCTGGTGCTCTAGCTTATGGTATTACCTCTGGGCATTTCGAAAGCATTGCGGCCTGGCGTGTGCTTTTCCTTGTGGAAGGCTTGCCAGCCATTCTTGCTGGTGTTCTTACCTGGTTCCTCATGCCCGATAGTCCTGAAAAGGCTAAATTTCTGACCGAAGAGGAAGTACTCATCGCAAAAGCACGCAAAGTTCGACAGGTAGGCACCACGGATTCCAATCGACCACACGGAATCCAGTGGCACGAAGTGCGTGCCGCGTTTCTTGATATCAAGAATTGGACAACAGCATTGATGTATTTCTCCTGCAACGTATCATTTGCATCTCTCCCAGTGTTCCTACCAACTATTCTTGCCGCAATGGGTTTCTCAAGCGTCACTGCGCAAGGACTCTCAGCCCCGCCGTATTTTCTCGCATTCCTAGTTGTTATTCTTACAACATGGCTTGCAGACAAGTACTCGCAGCGCGGATACACTATCCTCATCCTATCTCTAATAGGGGCAACAGGATATATAATGCTCGCCGTATCAACCAGCACAGGAGTTCGCTACGCCGGAGTATTCCTAGCCGCATCAGGCATTTTCCCCGCCATTGGAAATATTCTTCCCTGGGTAATGAACAACCAAGGGAGTGAGAGTAAAAGAGGAACAGGAATTGCGATTCTGAATGTGGTGGGTCAATGTGGTCCGCTTCTGGGAACGAGATTATATCCCAGTAGTGAAGGACCTTATTATAAGAAAGGAATGGTATGTTTATTTCTTTCCACCCTTTTTGATCGCCGTCTCTGCTTTTAACCAATTCTTCGACGTAAACGCGGGGAGTTTTGGGGAAAATATACTAATCGTCATTTTCTTATCAGTGGGTTTGCGCAGCTTTCATGCTCTTCAACGGCGCCTTAGCAATGGCCTTACGTTTTCGACTTGCATATGAAAACCGACAGTTGGATGAAAAGTATGGCATCAACGGCGATAATGAAAATGAAAATGAAGATGGGAGTTTGAAGGACTCAAATGCTGGGAGAGAAAATGACGGGCCAAATTTTAGATATATTTTATGATGTGATTGATAATGATGCTCTGAATACAGATTTCTTGGGGTTTTCAGAGTTTAGGGGGTTTGAATTTCAGGGTAAAAGGGGCATATATGATACCCAGGTTATAGGAATTCGATTTCAGCTGATAGATAGATTGCAAATATATCGTTCTTTGTATGTGATTTGTAAAAGCTATCATTTGCTAACAACATGAATGCCATGTGCAACCGGGGAAAAGCAAAAATAGCTATGCAAGTCATCTGTCTACATACGCATTCCTATGCAATAGAATCATTCTCTCAAAACATTGACCATAACTTATTGTCCATAGTACTCATGTTCGCATGATTTCATATCACCCTCCAACCTGGAGACCTCGGTACAAGAACTGGCATGCTTGTTTATTTGAAGTTCTCTGGGTGCAAGATACCAGCCATGTTACCTGCCTTAACACGCTTGAGGGTCAAAGCAGCAATCAAAGCTGCACCGACACCAGATCCATCCTCAGCAGCCAAGATTTCAATAGGATCAGCCTCCTTAGCATTCTTCTTTGCGGGCCAATCAAGAATTTCACGGAGTGCGGCAGCACCACGAGCCTTGAAGTGGGGATATTTGTTAAAGACAGATCCGTCAGCTCCGACGTGGCAAGTCTCGTAGTTCTTCTTCTTGGCAATAGCGGCAACACCACATGCGGAGAGACGGGCGGCACGGGTACCAATCAACTCGGCAAGGCGACGGATGAGCTCGAGTTCTGGAACAGTGGCTCTAATGCTGAGCTTGTTTTGGAAAAGATCAGCAGTCTCTGACAAGTTCTCCCATGGGTCCCTAAACAAATGTTAATTGAGCCATCAAAAGATATGGAAATATGGGAACATACTCCTCAACCAAAGACAAGAATGAAGAGTCCAAGGTGTAAGCCTTTCGGAGTTTTTCGATATCTTGACCCTCAAACATGTGGATATCTTTGTTGTCATGAAGATCAACGAGAACCAATCTGAAAAGTTCTCCAAGGTAAAGGCCGGCAATCATCTTCTCGAATGCTTGCTGACCAGGACGTGGAGAATCTTTATCAATAATGATATCGTATGGAGTACGGGGGAGAACTTTGTGTTCATTGTCGAAGGCACCCCACTCGCAGTTGATTGCCATTGGGGTGTCAGGAGGTAGGTTCATGTGTGCCAATTTTGGAATAGAGCCACAGTTTTCCATGTAAGCAGCGTTGCAACCAGTTCCGAAGATACAACCAATCTTCATGGCTGTGTCAGTATATGCGGAAGCAATCAAGGTACCAGTAGTATCATTGATCAAAGCTGTAAGCTTAATTGGAACGCCCTGATGAATTTTAGCAAGCCTTATCTTCTGAATGCTATTAAACAACTTACTCTCTTGGCAAGAGCTGCCTCGAACATTGGAACAACGTTTTCACCTTCGACACCTGCAATATCAAAGCCCTTGGTCCATCTTTGCAAAATACCCTCATCAATGTAGTTTTGGGTAGCTGGGTAGGAGAAGGTGAAACCGAGACTCAACGTTCCAAGATTCTCACCGTGATGATGGGATTCGACGAATTGCTGAAGACAATCGGCGATATATTCCCAAAGTTCATCTGCGTCACCAGTCTTAAGCTCTTCTGGCATGCGGTATTTTGATTGAATGATATCAAACTCGGACTTCTCATCGGTCAAGATGATTTCACAGACACGCAAGTTGGTACCTCCCATATCCAAAGCGAGGAATGTACCAGTTTCATAACCATCTGGGAATGCCATACACCAAGTTGGGTTCATGGGCTAAACAAAATTAGTCATAAGTCATACTTCGGATCCGAAGAACATACGATACTTCCACCCTCTACAGTGAGACCTGGTTTAAAATTAGCACAACGGCCGTATCGTCAGTAGAGGACATAATAAATACCTTTTGTGAGCTCAGAGACGAAGTGTTCAGTGATCTCCTTGAGTTTCTTGGTGTCAACAGTGAACTGTTGCTCAAGCTTCTTGATTTGTTCCAAGTAATTTTTTGGAACATCGGCCATAGAACCTATGTGATGCCATGAGTTAGTAAATTTACAATCTATTTTAAAGGTATAAAATTGTAATCGAAAATGTATTTTGGTGAGGAGATGGTCTCATGCAATAAAGTTTTTGGTTGTTTTGAAGTCCATATCAAGGGGAGGAGTCTACGACTTCAACCATACAAACAAGGGTGACATAAACAGCATCAGCCATTATTGAAGATTTCAAAAAAGCTCTGCCTGAGAGTAGATCTTGGTATTTTTTGAATTGAGTATCAAAACCAAGAGACCCTTGCGCTGCTCAGAAAGCACACGCTAAAATTTTAGTCCAATCTAAGCAGAACACTTGTCGGGTAGACTAGACTAGACTAAAATAATAATAGGCCGAGTAAAAACAAAGACAGGGATCAGGAGATATCAACCTTTGCGTGGTAATGGTGTTTGAAGCTCCTCAATAGGAGCTGAAGATAGAATAGGGGATGAAGTCGTCGACATGTTGCAAATTGTTTATCTAGAAACTTCGTAGATTTCAAAGCTTTGAGTTCTTGAGTGTGATGATTTGACTTTGAAATGCCGACAGCTGGTTGCTTTCATGCTGACAATGCTTCAAGAGAGGAGACATTGAAAGGTGTGTCATAATAGACTACATCAAGCTGTACAGCCTGCTCATTCACAGACAAAAGGTGAATTTAGATCACATTCTGAGATTCTCTTTGAAGTCGAACCAAGCCGAGCCAGACAGATCCTAAGTTGACGAAGGAAAAGTTGAAGTTATACATACCCTTACGGGAAGGAGGCTTTCTTGGACCTAACCCCACCATGTTGAAGGATTTTCAAAGATAGATTTGTAAATAAAGGGTATAAAAGAAGAGTTGAAGAGATTCTAGGATCTTCGGTATGAAATTGAGGATATAAAGCAATACAATAACAGAACAATAAAGAAGTCGCTGTTGATGATTTTACAAAAGTTTTCTTGAGAGAAAGGATTGAGTTTGTGTTGGGTGAAACTAAATAAATGGGTTGTCTCCTTCGGACTTCACTCGACTCCCCGCCGTGACTTCATCATAGTGGATCAGATTTCAGCTCAACAGCCCAGTAGCAACCTGATTAATAAGCACGGGCCTATTTATGATTACCTGCTTGCCGATAAGAGGAACAAATTAAGCGCGCTCGCGATTATTGATAAGTGAATTAAGAAATGAAAAGAGGGAAGTGGGGAGTGAGGGAGAGGTGTGAAACTAGTGAACATCGCGAAATGGCGTCTAATTGTTCAGGACACTTTGGAGCAACGTAAGCTTCAATATTACCGGGGGACAGCTATTTGGGAAGGAATAGGAACTATTGACAACACCACGTCTTAGAATTGCTCATATTTCAATTTGTTTTGTAGTGTGAATCGAATTCCTCTTCTTAGGCTGGCTTCCAATACTTCTTCAAAATGAAGTCATTCACGATTGCGACTGCGGTCCTTTCTCTTGTATCGACAGCTTTCGGCGCAGACAAGAGTAACTTGACAAAACCACTGTCTTCGAAACAAATTCTTCCCTCGAATTTCAAACCTCCGCAAGTCTTCAAAAATGCCAATTTGGTCCATCATATCAATCTCGAAAAAAGTTACCCTAAAGAGTCAATTAATGTGGTAATTGAGAACATTGCGAACGAACCTCAAGATGAATACTATCTGCCATTCACATCGAGGCAAATGGAGACAATTGGAGCTCTAGAAGTAAAGGATAGAAAGGATGCCGACTCCGGACCATTCGAAGTACGAGCAGTAGAGGTAGACACAGAGAGGTAATTTATGTTCGGACCGCTACTCGAATCATTAGCTAATTATTCACAAGTGACACTCAATTCTACCTGATCAAGCTACCACAACCCCTCGCACCCAAAGCACAACAAACAATTGGCATTTCGTACTCATACCTTTCGGCTTTGAACCCTCTTCCAAATTCAATTGCACAGAACGAGAACCAATACGTCGTTTACGAATTCTCCGCATATGCCCAATCGTCATACGTCACTTTGAAGCAAAAGACTGAGGTTAAATTCCCAACTACCAATATTCCAGAACACACCATTGTCCCAGGAACTGATGGTGCATCCGAATCACCACAGAAGCAAGGTTCTAAATACACTTACGGTTCTTATGGAGAGGTACCAGCTGGTGCAGTGGAACCAGTCCGAGTTCGATATGAGTTCACCAAACCCCTCATTCACGTCTCTAGATTAGAGCGTGATATTGAAGTTAGCCACTGGGGAGGAAATGTTGCTTTTGAGGAACGTTACACTCTGACCAACCGTGCTGCCAACCTTTCTCAACCTTTTTCTCGCACTCTCTGGAACCAAGCCGCATACTATTCCACCACTCCCACTTCTGCCATCAAGGAGCTCAAATTCCCATTGAAGGTTGGAAGTTTGACACCATACTTCACTGATGTCATTGGCAATGTCTCTACCTCTCGTTTCCGCAGCAACAAACGCGAAGCAAATCTTGAGATCAAGCCCCGTTACCCAATCTTCGGAGGCTGGAATTATCCTTTCCGTGTAGGATGGGATGCTGATGCTAAAAGATTCTTGAGAAAACTAAGCGGAGGAGAGCAATACGTTCTCAATGTCCCGTTTTTGGAAGGTCCAAAACAAGCTGAGGGAGTTGAATATGAATTCGTTGAACTCCGTGTCATTCTTCCAGAAGGAGCTGAGTATGTATTCTAACCTTCTTGCTTATAACGCCACTAACCCCCCTCTCAATAGAAATGTCCAATTCTCTACTCTCGTCCCTACCGCCTCCTCTACAATTACTCTCCACAAAACTTTCATGGATACTATTGGCCGTACAACGCTCACACTCCATTCTCACAACTTGGTTGATGATCTCCGCGATCGTGAACTCATTGTTACATATACCTACCCCTTCCTTGCAGGTTTCCGCAAACCTATGGTTATTTTCTGCTCCGTCTTGAGTTTATTCGTTACAGTTTGGGCTATTGGTACTTTGAATGTTAGTATCAAGGGAAAGAAGGCTTAAGTATCGGTTAGAGAGAAATCCGAGAAAGAATGATACATCGAGCTGTAAGAGTTTGATTGAAATATGTGTATAGATAGCAAGATATGTAAAATGAGAAAAGTCTTGATTGTTATTCTTTTGCTTCATTCATTTCATTCCATATATGTTCTAAGAACATGCTCTTTGATCCGCGAATCTAGTGATCGCTATATGAGCTTAAAAATACCAATCTCTTCATGCAAATACAAATCCTTCTCATCCATCTCGAATTCGGTCCCTTCATTCCCTTTTCCTCCTCTCAAATTTTCAAGTCCCCTTTCAAACAAATCGCACTGCTCTTCACTAAAATCCACCCTTCCCAATCTCCTATACTCCCCCCGTTTCCCCGTACTCAAAACACACAATCCATACACCAACTTCAACCCATCCATCTCATGTCCCTCTCTCTCAAACATCGCTCTTGCAATCGGCAAAAAACACGCACGTGCGATATCGCTATACTCTTCTGGTTGATCAGGTCGTATATGCACCACATGACTGTACTTCTCCACAAATGTCCCATTGTATATCTCGACTTTCTTCTTCGGTTGCCCGGAAATATAAATGGTTGGCTCTTCGCGTTTCCAAGTCGGAATATTGGCAGGCCAATCGGGAGGATCCATCGAAAGGGGATAGAGAATTCCGCGCAGAATCAAATGCGCGGAGTGGATTCTTCCAAATGGGAGAGTGGGATCGAGTGGATTTATCTGCGCGGTGCGGAGCTCGATCATAGAATCTTTGCTTGAGAGGGGGATAGGTAATCCAGGCTCAATGTCCCCGGATACAGAAGCCCAGGACCAGGAGGGAGCTTCGTAAGAGGCGAGTCGACTGGATTCGGTGATGTGGTATGTGGGGGTGTTTCCGACGAGATCGCGGGCTGTGAGGCTGGGGAGTGGGAAGGGATGGTTGGAGCGGAGGCCTTTGTGCACGCCCCAGAGGAGAGTGCCCGGGAGGTGACTCTGCCAGAGTCCGGCGAGGAAGGTGTCTTGGAGGAGGGAGGAGAATTTCTGGGCTACGCCTGCGAGGGCTACGAGGCGGTCTTTCTCGAAGGTCACTTCGGAGCGGCCGTAGGTTTCGAGAACGCGGTACCAATCTTGTATATACTTACTTCCTTCTTCTTCTTCTTTCTTATCCTGCTGACGGCCAAAAATTCGAGAATTCCCAGGAAATTTAAATCCCGTGTGTTTATTCAACCTCACCTGTTTAGGCAATCCTAACGGAAACGTCTCCGAAGCTTCATGTGTCCTGCATTCCCAAACCATCTGATCGAACGTAAAATGCAGTATTCGCGGACTGAGCCATCGCTCCTGCGTTATCCAAGCCCGTTTATTACACGGAGAACTATAGATTCTATCTTTCCAGAATTGGAAATCGGTGATGACGAATTCGTGATTTGGGGCGTTGTTCCAAGTAGACCTCACGACACAGGGTTGGATAAGCTCTGGATTGCGCACGGGAATTAATGTATCGATGGCGGCGGTACCGGAGAGATTGAGGAGAGAATGCGCGTATACGTCACCCATTGTTTGCGCTTCTTCGCCCCAATCTTCGGAACAATCTTGGATGATGCAGAGGGAGTCGATCCAGATGTAGCGCACGTTCAGACGTCGCGCGACTAGAATCGCATCTTGGAATCTGGGGGGTAGGATATCGTGGGAGATGAAATCTTTCATTTCTTCGATGTTGGATTTTTCAAGTCGCGCACTGATTGCTCCTTGAGCGGGCCAGCGGTGGCTAAGTGTGAGATAAGAGGAGTCTTTGGGTGGTGTATCTTTTGTCTCTATTAATCTGCAATTTGCGGGAAAATGACCAGTTGACAGGTTGAACATCAGAGCTGTTAATTGCGCTACTGGGTCAGGACTGGTGAGATACTCTACGTCGATTAATCGCGTAGGATACCATGGAGCGTCCTGGGTCGTGGGGTTACATTTAGGATGGTTTTCAATACAATCATTGGCCCATTGGAGCATGGTTGTCCAGGTATTGTCAGAAAAGATACTGAGATCCGGTTTGGGTAATTCCCGGAGTGGTGCAAGACATTCCTCCGCTGTTTACTGTCAACCTCAATAATCTCTATACAAAAACTTCCTCACATACCATCTAAGACCGACATATTGATAGTTTTCCATCTGGGCACCTCTTTATCCATCTGCGCGTTCAACTCCACCATAATCTCAAATCCCCCATCACCATCCCCGTCCTCTTGATTCCCATCACCCCCTCCACCTCCCACCAACTCATCATCCAATTTCTTGAGCCTGTACCTCGTCCCATTTCTAACCAAATGCACCCCGCCATCTCTCAAAAACAACGGATACTGTCTATACTCCTCTGGCGTTTTATCCCTGAAAAAATGTCTCCAGATGATATCACACAATTGACAACCATCTATCGCGCCATCACAAAGATTTGAGATATCTGAATGAAGAGGACGGATGATATCGTCTATATTTGACGAGGGAGTGGATACGAGGGGTGGCCGATCGCCGGAAAATATCGTACTGCAAGTTGCGCATACCATCATGTTTTTACGTTCTGGATGAAGATTTTAGAAAAGAAGGATCAAGAAAATCGTGAGAAGAGGGGTCATTCAGCCGCAGATACACATGTAGCAATCTTGAGCTTGGCGCTGACCGAATTGTAACCACGTGATGCGTGTGAAAGTCACATCGAGGTATATTTCGAGATCAGCAGATTGGTAAGGCTATGAGGATATTGATTCACGGTAGCTACTAGGATCTAAGATCGTATGAGTTGGGGTTGAAGATGGGAAAGTAGTCTTGTCAGAAGAACATGTATTTTTTAGCGAGAAATGAGGGGGGAGAGGAGTGAGCTCACAAGGCAAGGTATTAAAGCTGTCTACATAGAATTGTGCTGCTAGATGAACCATCCAATGAAGTCTTGTGTCTCGAAAAACACTTCCAAATATCCCAACCAAAGCCAAAACCACAGACCTTTGCGAAGCAACCTTCAAATCCTCAAAAAAATCTCACTCGCATCAAGACACACGGAATATTCGGCAAAGCACCTTTCTCACCTCGCTCGCCTCCTTCAGTTTCCATCTAACACACTCCTTTCTTACTTCTCATCCCACACTCCCACTCAACGATTCATCTAAATGGAACTTTCGACCGATATCTTCCTTACGCGAAGACTAATATACTTTGCAATTGAATTCATGTACTGTAATATAATAGCGTCCTCGCATTGACCAGAGATTGGCGCTTTGAACTTCACATTCGACCTCGCACTATCCATTCAATTTCATTTTTTCATCGTTTCTTGAAACTTGATTTATACAGATTAACTATATACGAATTAAGCCAATTGCCTATATAGATACAAATTTTCAAAGCCGCCGTCTCACTTTCTCTTCCTTCTGAACCCATCAATTACCGCCTAGCCCCGGCGTCTATTTACTAGCATCAATTTTGATATAGACAAACTCTTTTGTACACTCTAATTCCACGTCTTGCCCAAACCGCTTTTCTCCGACTCACGTCGACAATTTTATCATTCCTTAGCACTCATCTGGAACCAGGCATTGACAATCACCGCCGCAAAGAGCGATGCGCACAAAATACTCGGTCCCCAAGCATCATAATACTTAATGTTTCTCCTCTCCCTAATGCTATTACTTCTGTACAAGTACATGCCTACACTGTAGGCCAAACTCATAATGGCGACTACGGAAAAGAAACCTGCAGCAATGAAGGATACAGCAGTAGGTTTTGTTCCAAAGTTAACGAGTGTAGCTGCAATTGTACCGATGTAGATAGAGAATTCGAGCTATAAGAATGTGTTAGAAGGTTGTATGATCATCTAAATAGTATAATTGAGAAAATACATACCCAAGTTAAGAATGTTCTCTCAGCGGCAAAATACACCTTTGGTTCGACGCGAACAGGCACGTGAATCTTCTTTCCAGGTGGTGCCTTGAATTTCTTAGCCACAATTTTACCGCCCCCATTTCGAAGAGCTGAGAATGTAGCATTGTTACTATCCATTGGATCTCTTGGAGTAGGGCTTATCGAATGGATTTTCCGAGATAGATGATGTCCCGCAGTTTTAGCATAATATTTAATGCCTTCTGTTATAAAAGCTAGACCGCCAACTCTTCTGGCTCTCTCAAATGGTCGATTGTCGATAGAATCTTCGTCATCAGTATCATAGATATAGTCCTCTTCAACCAATGGCATGCTAGCAATTTCTTCTTCGATGTCGAGACTATTTCCTGGTGCTCCATGGTTCCGTCGTCGTAGGGTCTCGGACGCAGCGGCAATGGTCCCAGCCCCAGATTGATTAAAGTTGTAATCTTCATCATCGGAATCATCGTCGTCGTCATCGTCACTTGTGGAACTTGGATTTGAGTGACCTGGTCGTTTAATACCGAACGACTGAGTAACTGGCTTTCGGATGTCTACATCCATTTGTGGCATCCAGAATGGTATAAGGTTTATGCGAGTTGGGAAGAGAGTCGCGGTACCATGAATGAATTTTGAGAATTTGGGAACAGCTTCAACAAGGTGACTAGCAATGAGTTCTCGTACCCATTCTGGTGGTTCTTGACCAGCCTGAGTTTGTAACTTCACTTCAAGAACTGCGTATGGGAATCTTTCAACATCTTCTGCGGGCAACTGACTGAATGGATAATCGATACCGATATCCATTCTTCGCCAATTATCGCCAGCGCGTCTTCTTCCGTCAAGGTTATCTTCTCTAACCATTGTCAATTCAGTATCTAAAGAGATACGAACTCTTGCGTCGGCTGGCAATTGAAAGGCAGTACGGTTATAAAAGGATCGGCAGACGGGTACATAGCCCTTCTTGATAACCGAATATTGAACTTCCCTGGCAAGTCTCTCGTCCTCCTCGATGGCTTTCAATGGTTTCTTGCCCTCCTTGCGAGCCTTCTCGAATATAGCAGCAGGCAGCATTTCTCCCTTCATGTATGCATTGACGTTCTTTTCCTTGATCCCGAATCTTGCCTTTACTGACTTCTCTCCCGTCCAATCTTCACGATGCGTTTTTCTCTCCACGAATATGTGTTCATTGTCGACATCACCGTACCATCTGAGACGGATTGCCTCGGCTCCCTCACTTTTCTTGAGTCGACCCTCGTATAGATCCCAAGTCTCGGGATTGTCGTAATAAATCGACGTGATCGCAGAATCTTTCGCTTCGAACTCCTTGCTGGCATTGAAAACAAGAACGGGTAGATGCTATGCAATAATTAGCAGAAATTTATGGGCATTTTCTAGATTGGCTCTACCTTCAAGATGATAAGCTTCAGCTCGGTGATATTATCCGGGTGCACCCAGTATTTAGTTGTTTGTCGAATGAAACTGGCTTGACTTCCACCTGCCGAGCTATCACCTTGCACTGGATTTCCTCTGGTTCTGACCAAGTCATACAATTTGGATAACTTAACAATGTCGGCATCATAGTTGTCTTTGAAGAAAGGTTTCGCCTTGAGTCTTGTCGCAAACACAGGTTTTAGCATCCATTTGGTGGTTTTCTGATAATCGTTAGTTGGGCGCGATAAGTATATAATCAACAAACTTACGTCATGCTTCTTGATGATCTTCTGAAATCCAGTGTAATTTAGCTGAACGAATTTGGCCAAATCGTGTACATCCGCGATAATGTCACTCAAATCTTCCTCCAATAGCATGAACTCTTCTTCTGTAGGAGCATCAGAATCTACCGATCCATTGCTACGTTCGGGTCCTCTCGAGTCCAATCTTCCTACAACTTCGCTAACCTCTCTATCTGCGTTCGCAATTCTTCGACTGATTTCGATGGCCTTCAATTTTTGTTTGGTATGCACCTTGTCCAACTCTGCCTCCATGAGATCAATGAACTCTCTTTCATTTGCTTCGGTCCATTCTTCTCGATTCGAACCCGACTTGTTTTTCTTCGAGGAGGTAACGTAAGGAGTCTTGAGCTTTTCTTTCAGCTCATCGTAAGCAATATAGTACCATTGGTACTCTTTGATCACACTTGATCGGAGTTGCTCGCCAAACTTCATGATGATGGTTCCTGGTGGAAAGTTGTAGTGACCTGGAGGGCCGTTGGTTTGTGATAACCAACGCTGAGTATCTGCCTTCAAATCGTGAACAATTAGCATTTATAATCAGAGGAGATGTCTCGTTATCTGCGCTTGAGTAGAAAACGGAATTGATCTGAATGCGAATGGATATATTGTAAGGGGCGCATGAAGAAGTACCTGGTTACACACAGGAATCTGTGAGTTGCGCTTGATTTGAGGAAAGAACGAGATTAACAAATGAATGAGGAAGCTGCTGTCTGTGAGACAACAGGGTGATGGTATTCGGTGGTGTCAATTCTCTGCGGATTTGTTGGTATTTTATTAGATTGTGCTAAAAATGTTGCATAATTAAAGGTATGAATTGTGAATTTTACGACAGCTGAGCAGGTAGTTTTGCCCAGGTAGGTAGGAAATGTTTAGATTAGGTATTATTAGTGAAAGTAAAGTAAAGTCTAATGATGGAAAGCTTAAGAGCTTCATTGACCAATCATAGAGTAGTAGCGCGGAACGTGTGAAAGTCAGCTTTAGTACTTGATTAGGTTTAGCTTATCATCATCCGCTTTCCTCTAGTGTGAAAGTAGAGTGGCATATTTAATCTGAATTCTTATCTCATCTTATCAATATCATCTCTCCATCCATCACCTTACGGAGGATATTGCCGACGCAGGTAGGTACCAAGTCTGAAATGATTGGTCTAATGTCACATGTGTATTCAAACATGGGATTGTTGAATTTACTCCGCTTCTATCATTTGATTTGATTGACTTCGTCTTTGGTACTTCATCCTCGATACTCAGATTCTTCAGTTCTTCACTACCAGCTCACCAGCCGAAGGTCCTCACGGTTAAAGACCTTGAGGTCTGTCTGTCAAATTTATTAATAGCTGTAGAGGATCTATCTGTTTTGAACTCAAGTATTTCAGCTTGATTTGACTTTACAAACTCGATATCAAATCATTACCAAATCGAATCACATTCTATTCACTGCATCCATGGCCGCAATTATCACTGCGCCAAACACGCCCTTGTTAATCTATGGTTCCGTCATTCAGTCAGCTAGTGTGGACGATCTTGATTACGTCGAACAAGGCTTTCTAGTCATCCAATCTGGCAAGATCCTTCACTATCAGAAGAACGTCAAGAAGGATGATATCCCTAGCATACTTGAGAGTCTTGACCTCAAGGCCCTTCTCCCCAGTGTTCGTCATCTGAAAAGAGGTCAATTTGTCATTCCTGGCTTCGTCGATACTCATAATCACGCACCTCAATGGGCTCAGCGTGGCTTAGGGCGTGGAATGGAGATTCTGGATTGGTTGGATCAAGTAACCTTTCCAAACGAGGCGAAGTTCGAGGATTCAGAACATGCTCGACGTGTTTACAGTTCGTGCGTCGACGGTTTCATTAAGCAAGGCATCACCACTGTATCATACTATGGGTCTTTGCATGGTGAAGCGACAAAGATATTAGCAAATATTTGTTTCGAAAAAGGACAGCGAGCTTTCGTAGGGAAATGCAATATGAACCGCAATTCCCCTCCTTATTACACAGATACATCCGCAGAATCCTCTCTTGAAGTTACGAAGGACTTTATTTCTTACGTTCGACACATCGACCCCAATTTTGATTTGGTCAGCCCTGTCCTTACTCCTCGATTTGCAATTTCTTGTACCGATGAGCTTCTTGCGGGCATTGGACAGATAGCGCAAGCCGATCCTACATTACCCATCCAAACTCATTTTTGCGAGGCAGAGTCCGAAAAATCTACTACGTTATCTCTTTTCCCATCGTTTACAAACGAAGCGGATCTATATGAAAGTTTCAACCTCCTCTCTAAGCGTTCCATTCTCGCACACTGTACCATAATGACAGACTACGAGATAGAGCGTATTGCTGCACTTGATTGTGGGGTAGCACATTGTCCAATCTCTAATACCACGGTTGGTGGTGGATTCATGGCAGCACCAATTCGCGAATACCTTCGTCGTGGTATCAAGGTTGGTCTAGGAACTGACAGTGGCGGTGGATTCTCTTCCTCAATCTTGGATGCTATGCGACAAGCTTTCATCGTATCTAATGCGAAAGATTTCCTCACTAAAGGTGCTGATCCAAGGTTGTCACTGGCTGAATGTTTCTATCTTGCTACGCTTGGTGGTGCTCGAGTTTGTTGTCTGGATCATGAGATTGGCGACTTTTCCAATGGAAAACAGTTTGATGCTTTGATTATCGACACGAAAAGAGATGGAGCAATGACTATTGTTGATGACAAAGATACACTTCCAGTTCTTTTTGAGAAATTTTTGATGAGTGGAGACGATCGAAATATTGTCGAGGTTTATGTCAAAGGAAGACAGATTAAATTCTGACCGAATTTCCATGCCATTCTTAGGGATGAGGTTTGTTTTTCGAGGGTCATTATAGTATACTCAGAGCAATGCGATACATACCCAATATTGGCCAGCTACATTCTTTGAATTATTATTGTTTCCGTTCTGCATTCCACAAATCATGAATTCGGCTGACAAAGCACCTACATAGCCGCCCGACATGTGTACCCCACGTGTCGCAGGCACCAATGCTACAATGACTTTGCACTTTTGTTCTCTTCACACTCTTCAGTCTCCACGTTTTCTTGAGACCCGTGTGTTTTCTCTCACTGCCCAATAAGTATATCTTCAGTATGATTTCTGATCATTCCTCAGTCCAGCCCTCCAAAGCACCCATAACTGCCTCCAAACTTCCGCCGCTCAGGATCTTATGCCTGGGTGACTCTCTCACAGAAGGCTATTCGCAATTCGGTACTAAATTCTCCCCGTATAGCAAATGGATGAAAGAAGTTTTGGTGGCAAAATGGCCTGATAGAGCAATTGAGGTTATCACAGATGGAGTAAGCGGAGATCTAGTTACTCCGCCTGGAGGATTCAAGAGAAGAATGGAGAGGCATTGTAGGTTTTTATTTCTGTTTATGGGCTGTGAAGACTGTGTGAAGACATCTTGGAAAATTGAAGGAAGGAGAAGGGATCAGATCATCAAGTGATGAATTTGAGACCAAGCTTCGTGGTTTGGACTGAACATGGTTATTCATTGATCTCATGTACACTTCTATTCACATCACGGGACGTTTTGAGTCTTGAGGCTCGTCTCAACGAGCTTCATACTTAGATCTGATCCGAATTTCTCACACATACATCCACATCCACCAACCAAGCTTACTAACAACCTTCCTTGAAGTCCCATCTAACCCCCAATAACTCACACAATTCTTCTCGGCGGTACCAACGATCTAGCTTACAATAGACCCGTCCAAACTCTCTACGCCGTTTTTGAGACACTCATATTTACACCCCTTAGCAACTCTTCGAAGGTTTTGATTATGACGGTTCCTGAATGTCATGTGAGAGCTAAGGTTTTAGACGAGAAGAGAGAGGAGTTAAATGATATGTTGGTTTATACTTTGGGGAGAAAGGATAACGTGTATGCTTTCCTCTTTCGTATCATCCTTAGGCCTCCCCCCTCTCCCCTATCTCCTCCCAATGCTGCATTCTTCTATGTTCAAATGAGCGCTAGAACAATTGGCCAGATACGATAAGGATGAATACAACACACTATATGCTAATCACCCCCAAATGAACAGTAGTACATTTGATCTCCGCGGCGCAATGCCCTACCACAACATGGAATTGGAAAAACGAGAACGTCTCTGGGACGATGGGTTGCATTTCACAGAGGAAGGATATAAGGAGATAGGAATCATGGTGGGAGAGAAAATGATCCAGGTTATTGAGGAGATGATACCTGAGAAGGAGATTTCACTGTCCGGAAAGGGGACTATGGGAATTGAGTAATTAAGAAGAGGAACAGGGGAGTTGAGATCTAGGAGTCATGAAATGATTGATATCCGAGGCAGAAAGATGGAGATGAGAATTCGTTGTGACTAGGCTACGACCAGGTGGTGATTAGGATCTCTACATATAACGAATATGACAAGATGGTACTCAACCGACCAATAGATATAGATTTTTAGCTCTTTTATTTTATTAAACTTGAAGAGTAATGTATGTGAAAATTCAAAAATCACGTAGGTGAGATGGCTGAGAAAATTCAGAGAGATATGTCAAGATGGCAGGATTACGACCAGCCAAAGGGCCTGGAACCTTCAAGATTTTCATGAAGAGGGGAGTTGTAATTTAAAGGAAGCATAGGAGATGACCGAGTTTGAATGCTTTGCTTGAGTGTATGCACTCTTGTGATAGTAAAGACTAAGATAGGGAGAGGAGTGAAGAAAGAACCAGAGTGAAACTAAGAAGTCGTTTAATTGGTTAATCTCTCAGCCACACTCAGCCACTTTAATCAAAAACCACTTTACGCGTAAAAGGGGACGTGAACGCGACATCAGGTACCTAGTGGTTGCGGCTGTTTGTATTCTATCCACTTTTCTTTTTTACTCCGTTGTTTACACTTCCTTACCAGGTCAAAGTCAGATCCACCACAACAATCACATTCTTTTGGCATTGGACTTGCATAGCGTCATTAATTAGAACTCAAAATGTCGTCCCCTGCCGGTCGTCGGCAGCGCAATTCTCAATCTACGACTCCTAGGCGTACATCAGCAAGAAATTCACAAGCTGTACCAAGTAGTCCACCAGATCCCGCCGCTGCTCAACTTCAAAATGAAGCAGCCTCGTCGCAAGGCGTTACAGGTACTCCTCGGCGGGGTATTATTCCATCGTCGTCGCCTATGAATTATCGATCTTCACCAGCAGATGCTGCACGATTCAATAGAGAAATCAGCTCACCCTGAGACAAATGACAAACACCCAGACAACAGAAGATGGCGATCGTACTCCAAGAGCAGGTGCTAGCGCTCTCATCGGTGGTAGGTACTATGTTTAAAAATTAATTGATACCGGCTGACAACATTAGACTCTTCACCCATCAGATACGAAGCAAGTTCTAGTCCTGGTAGAGCATATGCCAATGATCCTCAGACCAATATTCCAAGTGATAGCAGTGGCCTTTTCGTTCGCTCTTCTCGTTCCCAAGGCCCTGGGTCTGCGGTTAATAATTCGCGAAGAGGAGATATTACTTCTGACAACCTTAACACACCCCGTGCGAGAAGACGTATTTTCATGGATGAAAGTGGTCGAATTGTAAGAGACGTTCCACCTGAAGATGCGGAAGCTCCATCGTTCTCGAACCTCGATCCAACAACTTCAGATGCGCAAGCAATGGGAGGAAACTCTACACTTTGTATCTGGGGTACGAATGTTTCTATAAACGATACGTTGTCCACATTCAAGGACTTTCTTCGAAATTATACCAAAAAATACCGAATGTGGGGTGAGGGAATGTCAGAGGAAGACACCCAAGCTGATCCAGAATCGAATTCAAAGGAATACTTGGAGATGATGCAAAATATGTTAACTCTTGGAATCACGAGTCTCAATTTAGATTTCCGCAATCTCAAGGCATACCCTCCAACCAAGAAACTTTGGCAACAAGCACAGGATTACCCTCAGGACATTGTTACTCTTATGGATCAAGGTATCAAAGATGTGATGTATGAGATCGCTGAAAATCAAATGGCAGTTCAAAGGCAATCACAAAGCTCCGCTGGACAGGCATCTGGAAGAAGCAGGATTCAGAGCTCAGAACCCCCTGTTCCAAGTTCGGAAAGAAGCGAGCCAGAAGCTGCGACACCACGAGCACAAGACTCTAATGAAGTGGACTTGTGTGCCGAGGTACAAAAGAGATCATATAGAGTTCGTCCCTTTGGATTGGACAAGACTATTAATATGAGAGAACTCGATCCATCTGACGTCGATAAGATTATTGCTATCAAGGGTCTCGTTATTCGAACTACGCCAATCATTCCAGATATGAAAGATGCATTCTTCAAATGTTCTGTCTGCAATCATACTGTCAAGGTTGATATCGACCGTGGTAAGATTGCCGAGCCTACAGAATGTCCTCGTCCGGTTTGCAAATCTCCAAATTCCATGCAGATTGTACACAACAGGTCTGGATTCATGGATAAGCAAGTTATTAAACTTCAAGAAACTCCGGATTCCGTTCCTGCTGGTCAAACGCCACATTCGGTCTCGATGTGTGCATATGATGAGTTAGTGGATCTTTGTAAAGCTGGTGACAGAGTTGAGATTACTGGCATCTTCAAGGCTAGTCCAGTTCGTGTCAATCCTCGCCAACGAACTCTCAAGAGTATTTATAAAACATACATCGATGTTCTACATATTCAAAAGGTTGACAAGAAGAGGATGGGAATTGATGCCTCAACCGTTGAACAAGAAATATCCGATCAATTAGCGGGCAATATTGAAGAAACTAGAAAGGTTTCCGAGGAGGAGGAAGAAAAGATCAGAGAAACAGCTGCAAGGCCTGATATTTACGAACTTCTATCTCGATCCCTTGCACCTAGTATTTTTGAGATGGACGATGTTAAGAAGGGTATCTTGCTTCAATTATTTGGTGGAACTAACAAGTCTTTCGAAAAAGGAGGAAGTCCAAAATACAGAGGAGATATCAATATTCTGTTGTGTGGTGATCCTTCGACTGCGAAATCTCAGATTCTTCAATACGTACATAAGATTGCTCCCCGTGGTGTATATACTAGTGGTAAAGGATCTTCGGCAGTTGGTTTAACAGCATATGTTACTCGAGACCCAGAAACACGCCAACTTGTTCTTGAATCTGGTGCTCTTGTTTTGTCAGATGGAGGTGTTTGCTGTATTGATGAGTTCGACAAAATGTCCGATGCTACTCGATCAGTTTTGCACGAGGTCATGGAACAACAAACTGTCTCTATTGCTAAGGCAGGAATCATCACCACTTTGAATGCCAGAACAAGTATTCTTGCTTCCGCAAATCCAATTGGAAGTAAATATAATCCAAACTTGCCAGTACCTCAAAACATCGATCTACCACCTACTTTACTTTCCAGATTTGATCTTGTCTACTTGGTCTTGGATCGTATTGACGAGACTGCTGATCGTAGATTGGCTCGTCATCTTCTCAGTATGTACCTAGATGATAAGCCACAGAGTGCTTCAGGAGGAATGGAAATTTTGGTAAGCACATCTTTTCTCAACTATGCACAAGTATAAAGCTAATAGATTCAGCCCATCGAGTTCCTCACTTCCTATATCTCATACGCTCGTGCAAAGTGTCAGCCACGCATTAGTCAAGAAGCATCTACTGAACTTGTTTCCGCTTACGTTGAAATGCGTAAACTGGGTGAAGATATTCGTGCCGCTGAACGTCGTATTACAGCGACTACTCGTCAACTGGAATCTATGATTCGTCTTTCAGAGGCTCACGCCAAAATGCGTCTTTCTGAAATCGTCACAAAAGAAGATGTTCAAGAAGCAGTTCGATTGATTAAGAGCGCGCTGAAACAAGCAGCTACGGATGCAAGAACGGGATTAATTGATATGAGTCTCTTGACAGAAGGAACATCCGCAAGTGAGAGGAGAAGAAAGGGAGACTTGAAAAATGCGGTATTGGGAGTAGTGGATGAAATGACGGGACCGGGTGGAAATGCTAGATGGACAGAGGTTGTAAGGAAACTTGGGGAACAAAGTAGTCTACAAGTTGATGCAGCAGAGTTCGGAGAGGCGGTTAGGGGTTTGGAATTAGAAGGGAAGGTTATGATTCTTGGTGAAGGGCCGAGAAGAAGTATCAGGAGGGTTACTGGTCAATCTTAGACTAGGGATGGGTGATGTGGGTAGATGCATTGATGAGGATGATGTGTATGGCGTTGGGACTTTGTCTATTTGGCTACGTATAATCTGATATGATATGATAGTTGAGTAAAGGAAAGGTATTCATTGATTCATGAGTAGAAAGAAGGATATGCAAAAGGTCAGTAGGTAGTACGAGATGAATAATATGATTCCCTGGGTAGAGCATTTCTGATTCTGCGGTGTTTTGACTCTTTGTGAATTGTATGTATCAAAATGTGGCTAGATATACAACTCGCTTAATATTTACGCATCTGGGAATCAGCATTTTAGTTTATAGCGACTTGAAAATGTGTGAAGGATGCGTAGGCCTAGGTAAGTAGTCCTGATGGGATTCATCGAGTCGTAAGTACTAGGTAGTTATTTATATATAGACCTGCAATCTTCTAGCGTGGTATGAGTACCTAGTATTACTAGCGTGAGTTTTTCCTGGCTTTTTTGATATCTCCTCTAGGAGAGAGAAGAGAGGGGGGTGTAAAGCGATATCGATGCCTCAGATATCAAAAAATGAGATCTAAGTGTAGATACATATATGGAATGTTGCGGCTATAGCTCTTTCTAGTCTCTCGTATCTCCTCCATCTACTTTTTTTCCGTTTTTTTACCCTCTCTTTTTTCAATTTTTTCTTTGTTCTTTCTGTTATTTCTGTTTTACTTCCTACCCCTTTCAACCTCAGGATATTATATCTCAAGGACTATTATGTTTATTTGGAGGAAGAGACAGAAGGTTCGAAGAATGGAAGAGTGGGCTCTTTGGCCCTGGAGCTTTTATTGGATAAAAATGTTCTCTAAGAGGAGTGGGCAAGAATGATGTACATATCATACGGCTAAATTCTAATTGACATTTATTTTAGCACTGGGTTGTCTGTCACCAAACCCAGGTACATCGCGAAAGATGATAAAAAGGAGGGCTCTCCTGAGTCCTAAAACAAAGAGATGTGGATTTCACCAAGCCATCACGTCCAAATTGCGCGGGGAGACCAGATGAGAGAAAGGACTAGTATATTGATACGATAGATAACTACTTGCTCTCATTCTCACGTCATCTTCGTATAAAAGATGAAGCTTGGGGGTAAAAATGATAATCTGCGCTACTGTAGCATGAGGACAGTACGAAAGGAAAATATTCAGCATAGTAGATTGGGCTATCTAGTTTTCACTCCTCATCAAGGTTCCATATTGTAACTTGCGCGGAAAACATGTGTTTTGTGTTTTTCTAAATATATCGGCTAAAGTCCTATTATACGAATCTACAAATTAACACAAAGCGGTGTAAATAGGAATGCTATATATATCATACATACGAGAGCAAGAAGGCTCTTTCCCCAGATCAGTACTCTTTATTGTGACAAATTTTGACCTTAAAAGTCAACATGAAACTATGCAGTTGTCAAAGAAGATATAGCTGGAAGTTAAAACCAAAATATACGAAGACGAAGAGCCGTTGTACTTCCAACGAATAAGAGATTCTCTGTATTTCCTGAGCGAAAGCGCTTCAATCATCTGATGCATCTATTGTTATAAAAGGGTGAAGTTTATTAATCGAGAATTGGAATAGAAGCTAATGTACATCACAGACGGATATGAAAGTTGAAAAGTATCTCGATAAATTTGTGGATACACCCTCTGGATCCCGCCAACCGACACAAAAAGATGAGTTCAGTAGAACTACAGCCACTTAGACCTTCAAATGTTATAGTACAGACTACATGCTGCTCACTGTCTCCAAGCCTATCATAGCTGGTGTCGCATGGAATATCTATATGTGTTTGGTCGGGGTTGAGGATGCATACAATACACGCACAGTTGTATGAAAACTTGATTGAAAAGAATACTCTAGTGGTGCTTTTATTTTATGATTACTGTTAGATATTGAGTATAGTGAAGATAAGGTGCGATTTGAATTTATCTATGATTGTACTTTCGGCTCTAATGTCACAAGCAACGTGTGTACGATATCGAAGCAGATACAAATGTCTATTCTGAATGTGCACAATTTTTCCTATTCCCTATTCACACGATTGTGATGCGGAACTCGGATGGGAATTTCTCATGGCAGGGGGTCAGCTTTCAGCTATTCGACAATGATTATTGTTCAGGTGAGCATGGCATGAAGAGTTTTCCTTGGGAGATTGAAAAGTTACTGGGACACAAGAAACCTTAAAGTCGTACCATAGACGTTCAAAATCTTATATCTCAACCTGGGTTCCCTTAGACAATAATGAGGCCGACAGCGCGTGGAAGCTCTAGCGGCATGCAGCAGCTTGCTCCAAGATCCACTGCAAAGCATCCGTTTGGTCATCTCTCGCATACATAATTTGGGAAAGGCAGTATTGCTACCATAGGTGCAAAGAGCCTGAGCATTTTTTTGCGGCCCCCGGCATTGTTTGATGCTCAACCGGGTGTAATCATCCTTCATACTGGTAGGCAGCTGCTTCGATATTACAGCAAGGATCAAGTTTTACCTGCAAGGGATTGCATCTGCGAGGTATTTTCACACGTTAGACTATTAAGGTTAAATGCCATATCTAACTAATTATTCAACTGACGATTGTGACGATTGTGGGGTAGGCCGCGTAGCGTTTTGATTGAATTAAAACGAGATCACTCTATGGCGGCCCGTTCCACCATATCAGTACGTATCCGCAACCATCCTCCGTTAGAATAGCCAATAATATCATGAACCATACTGTCGGTACTCATCCAAAGATGCCGGCCGGGGACCGGTGATATTTCCTATTTGAAAATAGACATAGGAGATGGAGTTGATGATGTGATGTACTTACCCTGGTTGACCCGCTTTGTAAGCTTTATTGATTTGCAGGGCCGCAGATTGCCCAAGAATCTCGGCCCCGAAACTCTAACATTCCCGTTACACCCGTTGTGACCCCATTGTCACTCTGCTGATCATGGCATAAGCATGCTTGTTTTCAATAAGCTTTTAGGGGTAGCAGAAATTTTGCTGTCGGATAGCTGCAACAAGGCGCTAGGTCCAATTGCCAAGACCTATAACCCCTTTCTCGGGCCCACAACTGAAGATCAGTGCTTGCACCAACACACCTTTGTAATTGCAAGGTGCGGCGCGAGCCGACTCCATATAGTACTTTACTTCATTTGCAAGGTGCAATACAATATGAAACCTCTAAAGAGGGTGTGAACTGGTGACCGGAAGGGCTTTGCCGGGCCGAGAAAACTCCTGTAGTCGACTTGATACATCTTCGTTCTCGTACAACCAACTGCATAGTAATCTTTTTTGGCCAATTCTACCTCGTAAATTGTCCACCAATCGAGATTCGCGGTCAAACGGGTCCGGAGGAAAGTAGTGCCATCTTGTTTATCATCACCGAAACAACACTTGTCATGAACGTGATGATCTACGAGTAGCATAGTCGGAGATTGTGGCTTATTTGATGGTATTTGGATATATCATTTATAATCTCTCTATACATTGCAGTACTAATTCTTCACAAAAAGGAAGTCTTATTGAAGATGTGCAGTTATCATTTCTCAAGAAGCTAGGGTGATATCGGCACATGAAGCATTATTGGGAAGAGCTACAGACAAGTGAAAGGGCATGATTTCTTGGACTGTAATAGGCTCCGTGTAAAGCAGGAGGCAGGGTTAAAATCGAATTATCTGTAAATTACACGCTCGCCAGCGTCCACAATTCAAATCGTGATGCGTCTGAATTCAACGTCAGAAGTTGAGATACACAGAAACAGATTTTATTCTACGATTTATTACTTTCTATGGATATTACACAGATTCAAAACAATGAAACATTAGATACAAGAAGCAAGTCTTTCCATGCTAATATTTTCAGACACTGGCTGTCTCCTTCACTTCTGCACACTGCAGTGCCTCTTCTGCTCACCCTGAGCTTAAAATCTTCTAAGCAGGTGCAGCAACACATACATACTCTCCTAAATCTAAATAGGCGCAGTCTGTTCCAACTTCAGGATTCCACAAATTGAACTTCACCATCATTAGTGCTATTGTAACGCAATTGAATACAAACTTAAACTTACTTGAGCAGTGGTAATTCCGTAGGTTTCTTCGATTAAAGCACAATAGTCTCCCGAGACTACGAAATGAAATTCCGTACATGTCGCTATTGTCCCTGGCTCCAAGGGACTAGGGATAGGAGCTCCAACGCAAACGTAGGCTCCGAGTTCGAGATACAAACATGTGTTACCGACTCCAGGATTCCAGTCATTGAACTTTCCAAAGATTAGTTCTCAATATTCAAGCTCAATCATTCTCCGGAAGCATGAAAATTAAAGTACTGACCTGAGTAGCTGTAATGCCATAGTCTTCTTCTATTAGAGCACAATAGTCTCCCGAAACGACTAGATGATACTCTGAACAATTTGTAAATGAGCTAGGCTGGAGGGGCGTTGGATAGCTTAATGTAGACGAAGTACTGCTTGTGGTAGCAGTGGCACTAGTAGCAGTGGCAGCAGCGGTAGTCTTATATAGAGCACCAACACAGACATACTCGTCAAGGTCAAGATATGCACAGCCTGTTCCGACATGTGGATTCCACGCATTGAACTAAACACAGCCAGAAGTTAGAGAGTTCACTATGTTTGCTAGGAACTTAATCTATCTCACCTCGTCCGCTGTAATTCCATATTCTTCTTCAATGGCAGAGCAGCTGTCGCCGGAAACAACGTAATGATAGGAAGTACAGCTTGGATCGGTACTTGGTTCCAACGGAGAGGGAGCAGTTGCTGTTGAAGGTGCAGTACTAGTAGGCGTAGACGTACCTGTGCCTGTTCCTAACAAGCTTACAGATGTGCCTGTTGGTGTATATGCACTTGGCGTATTCAAAGGAAGATAGTCGATAGACACGCAATAGTAAAGTTCCGCGATCAGACTACATCCTGTACCAAGCTCTGTAACGATTGGATTCTGCTTTAATTAGTAGTGTTTGACTCACTGGCAATGGATGGATATCAAAGCAAAATTTACTGATTCTGCTTACCCAGGCTTCAAACTCGACTTCTGTTATTCCATAATATGCCTCAATGTCAGCGCATGTTAGAGAATAAGATTGCTGAACCCATGCACTACAATCCTCGGATGCGCCAGGAGCAGCTGTCCCGGGGGAGGCACCAAGTAGGCTCTAGCCCGTGAAACACTCAGAGCCCAGGTAGTTAATAGAAACAACTTCATGATTCTTAAAGTTGGAAAGACAGAAGAGTGAGAAAAATTATGGATAACAACAGAGTTGCAGATTTTTGATGGGCTATGGGAAAAATCAAATGCTATTCATGTTGGGTATGCCTAGTCATAAAAGCGTGTCGACAAATGTGTGCATCCGAGTCCGGAGCTACAAGAACAAGAAAAATCTAAATTCTCCGAGATACCATGCTTCTCATGACTACAAATATAGCCAGGGCACTAAATTGGGCATGCAGAGTTTCCCTATAATTGCATCCTTGAAAGAGCAATTCTATATCCATAGTTATTGTCCAGGTCAGGTGGGTCGCAAATTTGGACTGATGTGGAGAGGGGAAGGCTTATCATGCAAGGAGGAGCTGGCAGATCAAAGTGATCCACTGCGGAAAATCACTCGCCAGGCCCATCTCGCTTAAATCTTGACAAGCAGTTCATTTGTTGTCTGCACGACAAGGATTTTCTTTAGCATCAACATCGGATATGAGCAGATACCTACCTCGATTCCAAAAAGCCGCGCAAAAGCTGCTCTCCAAGAAAGATGTACAATTAATATATTTCAAGCCTAAATGTGGTACGCAGAGCAAGTTTTCAATTGATAGCTGATTATATACATCAAACTCTGAGACGCACATGGATCAAATCTATTTGGAAGACAAAGCCGAATTTTATTTGTGTATTTATCTAAGTTTCACCAGAAAAATTCAGGAATAGATTCCGATTTGACAATCACGCAACTTCGTTGATCCGCTCTTTGTCTTTGTGAGGTTCAATCCGAGGTGTCTTGAATTTATCATCTAGCCCATCTTGGAAGGTAAAGGGATAATTCGACGAAAGTAGACCTCTTATACCTGGCCAGCATTTTTAATAGCATCCGTCGCCTTTTGTGGTAAACCCGCTTCCAAGTACAGGGTGGCATCAGCCCCTGCTGGCGGGTTTTGGTATACATAGGCGGCCATGGCTAAGTAGACATATGATTCCGGATTGTTAATAACGTCAGAGTTTCCAGCGAGGGACGCGGAGCTGGCTGCTCCCAGATTATCTAAAGCAAAATGACGGATTAGCAAACATCTCTATTGACTGAGTCACAGCCGGCGGTCCACAAGACCCGAAAAGGGGGGGTCATACAGAACGGGTCGCGCGTGCTTTCATCTGAATCAGTGATATGGAAGAGCTCGTGATATAACGTGGCACTCAGAGGAAGAAGCCTGTCCAAATCTTGTCCGATTAACGTAATTGAAGTGGAAAGCGAGGACACCGAATGTAGATCACTAGGTTTTGCTTGACCAGTGGGATCAAAAGTACGAGGACAGAAGTACGCGAACCTATCATGTGTTCCGATGCTGACTGATTGAACAGTACTTGTATATGATCTTCGACTAGTGACAGCGTAGGGGCCAACATTAGGATCACATAATGCTGGTTTACTCTCAACCATATATGACTTGAGAGCGTCGATATAGTAGGCTACATTTATGGATTGGGCGGCCAAAGTGGGAAGCAAAGAGCCGAGTGTCCAGTAGTCGGTGATGGTTCCTGTTTCATCCTCTTCCTTTGCAATCTCTACCCCATTTCTATCCTTAGCAGGCTGATCCCAAGGAACTTTGCTTGCAAAGGCATCACCGCAAAATATCCAAGGAGCAGCCGAAGTTAATGAATCTACCAAGCCACCTCCATTCAGTAACTGAGAGACAGCGGCCAAACGTTCTTATTCAATTGATTAGTCAGAGTACGGAAGAACGGTGGACGGAAAATATATACCTCCCGTTTTTTCCCAAAGTGATTCACTACTGAATTCTCTGTCATATTCTCCATACTCATACACCCACTGGATACTCATCCACGCAGTAAAAAGAAGTCGGGATCCCGCATCGTCGTAAGAGTTGGCATACGCTTTAGTTACTGCATTATGCAACTTCACAACCTCTTGTAACCAATCATCGATAGTTTCTGTTTGGGAATAGCAGCCTCCTGCAGTAGATGCTGAGCCTATAGAGAATATATTTGTGGTCAAAGGCGCTACAGGAACCGTTGGGTTACTGATCTCCACTCGTCCAAAGAGAGTCCTTGTCGAATTCAAAAGAGAAGCATCACGGTAGTCTGGTAAATTGGCAATACAGAGACTAAAGAGACTGAATAACAAAAGAAGTACTGGCTTATATGAGAACATCTTGTGTTGAGTAAAAGACATAGAAGAGAGAGCGTTTTGAAGTACTATCAGAGGTGGAAAGAACAGATATCCAAGTCAACGTGATTTCCCAGTCCTGGAGGAATCACATAACTTTATTGATAAAACATCAGCTCAACGTATACTTAGAGGCTCTCGTCGTTTTCGTCGCATTTTCATGGCTCCCTTGTATGGCACAAGGTACTCAGAGCCCACATTCAAGAGCCCACATCCAAGAGCTCACAGAGTGGTACCAGAACTATAATAAAGTGAATTCACTTAAAAATATCCTGGTATTTCGGATAAATTTGGGCCGCTTCACATGCCAGTGTTCTAGGAATTGCAAGATCCCGAAATGAAGTCAAATTTCATTGTCTGCAAGGAAGGGAGCCATCGGATCATCATACCCATAACCTAGCAAGTATAGGTATATCTGACGAATCAAGCCTTGTTATAATGCTTTCATCCTTGATGAAGCATTCTAATCTGAATGCCGCATTTGCCTGATGACCCAGTTGAAGCTGGATGAAGGGTCATTTGATATATCAAAGGATTCCCTGTTCAATAAAGATTATCTTCACGCCATGTCAGCACTTTTGGGCAAGTTTAAACTTTCAATTTTCTTGCATGATTGCCCCTCCTAGCAACTGCAAGAACTATTGAATGTGGTATAACACTAGAATGTGAATAAATGGAGAACATAAGCGCCGCAGAAGCTTAAAAACAATATACAAGGAATGATATTGTAGATTGTTGTGTCCCACTTGTTGACTGTATTCTCAAGGGACTAACCGATGCACTTTAGTGGGACTAAAGTCTGAGCATTAGGTTCCTCATCAAAACCGACAGAAGGGTGTATGGATTCATACTTTCTAACCGAATATATCCCACATTTGGTTCTTTGCATTATCACACACTGTCAATTTACAAACAGAGTAATGAGTTCGGTCATTCATGAGAATTTACGACCAAGAATGCTCCGAAAATACGAACTCCGAGGGATGAATTGCCACCTTGAAAGCGGTCCTTGTAAATTGTGCTCATCTTGAAGCTTGCTTGTAGAGGCCACTGAAGTTTCAGTTTATCTTACTATACCTCATGCATGACTAGCCGCTATACCGCTCCGAGGTGATTGTCCCACTCATCAACTGCCAGAAATGTTAGACGCTTAAAGTGGGTAATAGGCCGCTTGGAAATCTTAATAGTAATGCAAAAAGGAAATTTTGTCCTGCCGAGATACTTCCACCCATCCTATTATATCCAAATACCCATGTGAAGTGTCTCATCACATCATATATGCCGGGAGGAGAAAGAACAGTCCATACGATATTTACCAGCCCAAACAAAACAGTATCCGTACAGGCACTCTTGAAATTTTACGAGGTACCAGCATCTTATACATCATAATCTTTTTTAAGATATATAGAAATTTAGTTCGCTCCTCTGTCAGTCTTTCATATTATGAGACAGTTCGCTCTTTTTCATTTGAATTACTTCGAGACAAAGACTTCATTACTCAATTTATTTCGCTTTCAATATTCAAAATGAAGCCTTCTCGGATGGGTTTGTACATCTTCATGATGGTTGCTTGGCATTTCCACGGCGCTCTGGCAATGAACTCGGCTCTTGCCGCGGCAGCTAGTAGCTCCTTGCAGGCATATCTGGCTAGCTCTCCATTTACTACACGCTCTGCGCCAGCGCCAACAGTAACAACAGACTTAACAGCTCTCAGAGCCGCTGTTCTGGCGGGTAACTATAGTTCCCGACTCGATCCCGCGACCAGGAATCGGTGTCCTCAGCCATGCACCTCAAACTCTAGTGATTGGTACTTGTATCACAGTCTTGAACGTCTTGCTGTGTGCAACAATACCATGCTCCTAGATTTTTCGTTGTTCAACCAGATTGACGACCCTAAAACGCATTTGAGCATTGCTGCTTGTACAGCCAATATGGAATATACCAGTTCGCCGGTCACGAATATTACCTGTCAATCCAATGATGTACAACAGACTGAGATGACATCATCCTTACAAATGGCTTCCTCCGGTACCTTTTCAGCAAGTGTTCCTGACGTAGTTGCTGCTCTGAAACAGCTGCAGATTTTTTCTGCTTCAGTTAATGACCCATGCGACGAGACTATCAATTTTGCATACTCTGGCTCAGCTGCCGTGGGCATCTATGTGGGATCCGGGCTTTCCAGTCAGGGCGTGATCTCTTCAATCATCGGCAGACTTAGCAGCCAAATTCAAAGCGATGGCAGTGTGGCTGAGAACTTACTGGTTCAACTTTGTGATAACAGTACGGCCCGTTATTCAATGGGAATCTTTATCAATACCAACTCTGACATCTCCTCTGTTCAAGTCGGGGTACAATCTTGGAAAAACAGTAGTTGTATCACCTACGTGGATGAATTTGTTAACTCAACCTGGCAAAGCGTGAATTATCTTGCGCCATCCCTCTTGAATAGCAACACCTCTGCGAGTGTCAACACTGTCGGACAAAACGTTACTACGCTGACTAGCCGGTCACCACTACTTAGTAGCCATAAGCTGAGCTTACGCGACAGCTGCACCACTGTGAAGGTAGTAGCTGGAGATACATGTGCCACACTTGCTGCTGAATGTGGCATTACGCCGGCTGCGTTCACTCAGTATAATCCCAGTGCGACTGAATGCTCAGCCCTGACTACAGGCGAGTATGTTTGTTGCAGCGCTGGGACACTTCCAGACAATACGCCACAGCCGAGTGCTGATGGAGACTGTTATGCCTATCTGGTAGTAGCAGGAGACTCTTGTTCGTCGCTTGCAGCGAGCTATGACATAACCGAGGATGACATCATGACATGGAATACCAACACATGGGGCTGGAACGGCTGTACAAACCTGCTTGCAGGAAACAATATATGTCTTAGTTCAGGTTACTCTCCTATGCCTCCGAACATAGCAAACGCAGTTTGTGGTCCACAAGTAAATGGAACAGCCACAGCCCCTCAAGGAAGTGATCTAAGTACTTTGAATGAATGCCCCCTGAATGCCTGCTGTGATATTTGGGGTCAATGCGGGACTACTACGGAGTTCTGCACTCCCTCTAATTCTACCACTGGCGCACCTGGTACCGCGGCCTCGGGGCAAAATGGCTGCATCTCTAACTGTGGCACTGATATATCAATCACTGATGCTCCATCAGAGTTCTACTCCATCGCGTATTTTGAAGCCTTTGATTGGAGTCGCCCATGCTTGACCATGTCGGTTAACGATATCAATACCACAGCATATACGCACATTCACTTCGCATTTGCCACTCTTAATGCCGACTTCTCTATCAATGTCACCTCTATTGCCGACCAGTTGCCCTTCTTACAAGGCTTATCGGGTGTTAAGCGAATTGTATCTTTCGGTGGATGGGCCTTTTGCACAGACCCGAGCACATACATGATAATGCGAGACGCGGTAAGCACATCGGAGAATATTGCGACTTTGGTAAAAAATGTTATAGCTTTCGTAGAGGACTATGATTTGGATGGCATCGATTGGGATTGGGAGTACCCCGATGAACCGGATATTCCAGGTATTCCTGTTGGAACCGAGGCTGATAGTACTGGTTATTTCGTACTATTAGATGAGCTTAAGGCCAGTATGCCGACCGGAAAGACAGTTTCAATCACAGCTCCGGCTTCATACTGGTATCTGCAGCATTTTCCCATCCAGGCAATGAGCGAATTCCTCGACTATGTCGTCTTTATGACATATGATCTTCACGGGCAGTGGGACTACGGAAATGTGAATTCGGATACGGGATGTTTAGAAGGCAATTGTCTGAGATCCCATGTCAATATGACAGAAACTATCAATGCACTCTCCATGATTACCAAGGCCGGCGTCCTCTCTAACATGATTGCAGTAGGGGTTTCGAGTTACGGTCGCTCCTTCGAAATGACTACTCCTGGTTGCTGGACCGAGCTTTGTACTTATACAGGACCTCTCTCGGGAGCTACTCCAGGTCCCTGTACCGATACAGCAGGTTATATCGCCGACTATGAGATTGGCTTGGTCTCCTCTGAGAATCCTACGGCCGATTTGCTCTGGGACGAAAACTCCTATTCAAATATAATGGTTTATAATGAGACTCAATGGGTGGCTTACATGAATGACACAAACAAGGCAGTGCGCCAGCTCTTGTACAAAGATCTCAGTCTCTTTGGAACTTCCGACTGGGCAGTAGATTTGCAATCTTTGGATGGCACTGGCGAAAGTTCATCATCATCAACTACTTCTTCAAGCTCTAATCTTAACGAGACAGTTTACATAAGTCCTGACATTTGGTCTTCAGTAGACCCTGTGGTGACCGCCTTACCTGGTGTGACGCTCGTCTGGCCCCCGATGCCTTTGTCAAGTACCACTACGATCACTTTCCCACTATGGACTACCACAGTATCATATTCAAGTCTGACGACACTCACGAGCACTCTTACTGACGGCACAACTTCCACATACCCATGGTTTGTATATGTATCAATGCTCACGGTTCTCACAATTCCTGCTGGTGAGTAAACATTTTCTTAATTCTCCATTGCAATGTCGTTACCTTCTGATCCTCCACTAACTCGATTATCAATTATACAGTAACGACCACTGCTATTCCTGTATGGGGCGTATCTTTAGGAGCAGATTTAACAGATGGTCCAATTGTCTTAACCAGTTCTGTGCAACCAGACCCCTTCGGCATCATCATCACTCCGTATGTTAAGTTCCTCTCGCAAACGTAGGATCTTTACTGACTTTATTATTCTCGAAAGGGTTATTGATGGCACCACATCTATTATTGGTGCAGTAGAAACCACCACTAGTCCAGGAACAGTCATTGTCTGGGGTGACATCACTTATGACGCCCCTACGCAAACAGAAACATTAGGTGGGAGCACGACCATTATCGGGGGAACCACCTTGTCCCCAACGATTATCACAGTCACACCAAACCCACATCCTACGACTAAAGCTTCGACAACAGATTCAAATTTGAATTCGAAAACAAACTCCTGGAAATCCGGTAAACCACCAACACACACTACTACCGCTGGATGTCCGGGCTGTGGTCTACCTTGTGAGTCCATTTCTTGCTCTGTGGTTTTTATCATGAAGAATAAACTGCTGACATGAGTGAAAAAATCCAGGTATTTTATTCTGTGACTCTGGCTGCCCGTTTTGTCCTCCATCAATTTTCAGTAATCAGGGCTCAAGCGCCGGTAATGATGGCTCTTCCACTGCGACCGAGACAAAAAGTGAATCGAGCACTACTACGGCTTTCCCTGCAACCCTGTTATTTGTCACTGATACTCCCGATGTGTTTCCTTTCACATACGACGATCCAGCTGCCCTCTCCTCATTATACATTGAAGAACAACCTGAATGGGAAAGCTTGTTTTCAATCACGACGGGTACAACAACCTCAGCATCTACGACTGTTCCAGTATCGACCGTCACAATCCCAGATGTTACTGTAACTGTTACACCAACGCCTGTCGCTGACTGTGCCTTTTGGGACGACACAATTGCTTATCAGTTTGAGATCTACGACATTGTAGGATGGGCGACTGACGGTGGGAAATCTCTCGAGACCCAGGAAGATGGCTGTGGTGCTCTCACGGGTTGGGACTGGGTCGCTGCTTCAGGTACAACTGGTGCATATGTACACTTCTACCTTCCCACTATCATCAAAGCTGGCTGCGTGGAACGAGCAATTGTTTCAGCCGGTGGGCCAAAGATATCATGCGTTGGAGAAGGTTTGCCTCTCAAAAGATCCTTACGGGAGCGAGACTCGGTTCAGACCGCGCCTTCATTCTTGCCCATGACGGAAAATCAGCGTGAAATTTTATTAGGTGTTTACGGGAATACGACTGAGCACCATCAGTATATTCCAATGGTTTGGAATGCCACAAGCTCCTCGACAACCACTGCTTAAGTAGGGTAGGATCAGATACGTACTCATTTGACAAACAATTCAAGAACTCCTGTTCCAGTCGAATGACGGTACAATCAAGGATCAATATGAGTAGTCGTATAATCGTATTTTAATTACATATCAAACGTTCAAATCAAAAAAAACTTCATTGACTCTTTGTCTAATTGTGTCGCATGAAATTTTCCGCTGCGTCGAGTTGCAGCCCGTAGACGCAAGTCTACGGTCTGTTCTAACCTACCTAGTTATCAATTTGAATATCTCATCATTACCGCTGACGCCATCTGCTTTTATGATTCCAATAGAATCAAGATTATCTTCACCAAATACGCAACTGAATCCAGAGGATGATTAAGTTCATCCTAGTATCAATTCCACCAGTTCTTTCTCTCGCTTCCTCTCCCACACCTCTTTCATCACGCACCCATTACCCCTTCGATACGCGATACCATTTTCCCACTCCACCCATAACACATGATAACAATCTTGACGCTTCGTGTGGTCAGGAAACCAATCTTTGATTTCTTTCTCCTCCTCGCCACTCTTCGTGTTGACGCCAAACCATCCTTGAGAAATAGCAACAAGTTCAACGAGAGCCCCAGTCGTTGCGTTTTGCGTAAAATGAGCTCTATCTCTTTCACACATAAGCGTTAGGAAACCGACGACTTCTCCATTCAAATCTTGAAGCTTGATGTTTGTGAAATTTTCATTATCTTTGAGTTCAGACGAAGATGAAGACCGCTTTTCTGCTATTGTAGAAATATCTGTGATGCCATGTATGAATGCTCTCGAGGTCTGACAGTAGAGAAATTGCGTCTGCAGCTGTACAGGGTACTGTTTTTTCGAGTCTAGAACCGGAACCGGATATTTGTACCATCTATCAGGAGAGTTTGATTGCCAATAGGCATATTCTTGCCCGTCACCCGAATACGCAAATGTGTTGAGATGCATAGGATATCCACTATTCCAACCGAATGGCATGCGCATCCATCCTTTGAGAGGCGTTTGTGTGGTGTTTTCGGCTAGAACTTTGTACTTGTACCACGTCGATGCAATTTTTCGTCTATTTGTTGATTTGGAATGGTTCATTGTGTACCATGTGGTAATAGGTTTATAGACACCTTTCAAATATTCGGCTCTGAACCACGAGGTAGCTTCAAATTCACCGTCGTCTGCAAAACTTGCGCCTACTTGCCATCCAAGGAATGACCAGCTTGGGAGTTGTAATATCTCTTTCTCGGTTGAATGCCGTCTTTCTCCAACACCAATTGGGTTCCACATCAACCCAATCTCAAAGAAGAGTTCAGGGATACCATATAATAAACCGCCCTCGAATATCTGACTGAGTCCCCACTGTATACCAGAAAAGGCCGCTAAGGCATCATTAGGGAATGTGAGAACTTTTTGATTGAACTCCCGTAATAGACAATTCATGTTCTTCATATCTGGAAAACTGGAAGTCGTGAACAACTCTGGAGGTTCTAGTGGGTCAACTGATCGCAGCTTGAATGGTGGTAGATCAGGTAATAATTCTTCTTCCCAACTAGACCTGCTACATTCCCAATAGACAGTTCCATTTTCGAAGAAAAGACGTCGTTTGGCGAAAAGATTTTCTTGGTAAGTCCAAGCGCGCGAGTGATATAAAGTATTGTGTTTTTCATTTCTGCTTCTGGGGTTGATCAACTTTACTGGAGATCCCATAGACATTACGCTTTGTTTGAAGTTTCGTTGAGGAGTAAATCCCTTGAATCCTCGAAGTCCATAGTTGGCGTCGATGCCATCAGTAGCTACGATTGTGATACCTGAATGGAGTGAGTTTGATTTCACCGAGACACGACCCTCAATGAGTGCGATCATACTCACAAGAAGTAGTGTATATTCTAGCCATGGAATTCATCTCGGTTTGCAAAGCTTCTGCGTCGTCTTGAACGATACATAATGTATCGACCCATAAGTATCGCTCTCCAATTAGCCGAACAACATCAATAGCATTTTTGATCGTCATGGGTAACTTATCTGCTACAGATCCTTTTGATAGAACCCCTAATTCTTGGAGCCGATCGATGTTACTTTTCTCGCTGTAGAAAGGCACAATTTGCCCCCGGATATAGCTTAATGTAACAAACCTTGAATGCTCACGGCCAGGCACAAGACATCCAGCCACAGTATCAATCAGCCACGTCGGCTGGATTGCGTCCATACGTTTGAATTTCTCGGGATCATCACATGCAGCTCCATGATGCTTATTACACAAATCTTTCCAATTCAGAATAATCCCCTCATCAATCCAGATAGGATCAAGAATACGTGCACGTCTCGAATTTGGATATCCATCATTCTTCTCATGAACAAATTCAAAGCGACGTCCTAATGAACCTGTCCCATCTCGACTCGATCTAAGCACTATGGACGATGCCCTTTTGAACATGCTAATTTTGAACTCGGAGAAGTTTTGAATCGCGGCGCCATCTGGGTCGAATTTTGTGATCCATCTTCGGTGAGGACATTCCGTGTCGATAAGTGAGGAAACAGTTCCTAATATGACATTATCTTGTCTAGTACCTGCGTTAGAGAATTCAATGATTTGCTCGCATGTTGCACATGTCGTAAATGTTCCGCTCATGGTGAGTAGGTACTGAGTGATATTGATCTGCTCGAGCCGTCATCTAAAGTGAGGTATAGTCTCTGAACTGCTTGCAATCGCATGTAATATGAAAAACAGGGTGGATGGTCGAAGACTGATTACCAAAGATTGCAAATCTCTTATCGAGCACAGCGGCACCACAAGATGGAATGGATATAATAAGTAACAGTGAGGCTTTATTTTGAAAAGATGCCCTGAGGTGACGTGTAATGTTGGTATCATGTGACACAGGTGCACCGACCATTCTGGGGAATATATTTTCTTCACAATCGTACGATTAAAAAGACTGAGAATGAGTGTCATCATCTCACCAATTAATCAAAATCACAGATTGCAGACGAACAAAACCTTGAATCTAACATACTAAAAATCGGAGATCAAGTTTTTAATTATTCTATGCCTGAATAGTCCACTCTTTAAGCTATTAATTAGCTTTTGGTCGAGGAAAGCCAGTATCCCTGGATAGAAAGATAGATAGATAGATACTAGTATTCTTGGCGAATGATATGCTAAAAACAAACTAGTAAATGAAAACCTCTGCGTGTTCTTGATAATTACGGAAAAACATTTACATAATATGAGTATAGCAGTTCAATGGTTTGATTCATTTATATAGTTCTCTAATTCTAATCGACTCGTAGTATACTTATATTTCACGTTAGGAGTATACGTATACGTGTACGTAAATACAACGAGGAGAACATAAATATAGTTTCTCTTTATAGCTCTGATTCTTCTTCTTTTATACTTGATAATAATCAGTGAAACTACTTAATCCCTACAATTCTTTAGTTTCGCTCTATAATAGAGCAAACTATCACACAAAGTAACATTGAAACTCGTCAAATAGGTTTCTCAATATCGATTCCTAATTCTACTGTTGTTTTTATAAAAGATTTCTGGCTTGATCTATTACTATGAGTTCTCTTAAGTATAGCAGCTTGATTAGGCACTACGGGCTTTTTAAACTTATTATTTCCTAAATAGCTTCAAAGACACTAAAAATCTGTTTTTACAACCTGATCACTACTCCTTCCCAAGAAAAATAATTCCGTTCTCCAATTCTGTTACCTCTTCTTAAAAGATTACAACAATCAACCAACCCGTTCAATCTATACAATTCTCCAGCTTTACTCCATAACATCCAAAGCTACAACAATATGTCAAATACAACCTCTATTTTCCTTCTTATAGAGTCTATAATATATACACATAACTCAAATCTATCTAATCATAGAACTTATAACAACCTCACATCAATAACATTAAACGACACCTAATCCCCTAAAAGATAATCTCATTCGATCTTCTATTGGTAGTAATAAATTCCTGATCAATTCAGTCTACCCATAGCTAATGCCACGCTGACTCTCGATCTTTTGTTCAAAACTTTAAGAGACTAAGTATCTAGATGAACAAACGATCTATCAGAAATTTGTAAATTCTCAAATTCAAGTTTAAATTCTCCAAAAAAGTAAACCCCTCTTTGATTCATTCAAAAAGATCAAGTAGTCATTCGTACACACATACAAGAACTAAGCGAAGCCATATGATTGCATCAGTACTACAATCTTACATCCTCACTCTTTATACCTAAACAGTCAATCTAAATCTGAATGCATATTGTTATATGCTTCATTTTACGCCTATGTGTTATAGTTCGCATTATTCTTTCTTCTCTCGTTCTCTTTCTCCTTTGCTTTTTCAACTTCTCATTACATCCACACACATTTAGATCTACATCTACATCTATATCCCTCAACAAGTCCATCCATCCTATCATTCTAACCTTGAAATCATTCTCATCCCATTGTTCCCTTTGATGTGTGTCTTATGAAACCCTGATAAACCTTAATCAATAATTAACCACGCTTTTCACATCCTCTCCTCTCTCCCCTTCCATATCTCACTGCCTATCCAAATTTTAACCACTCACCTAATCAACATATCCCACAATAGACTCTTTCATTCAAATCACCACCCAAAAATACCTATTCATACAAAATCACCACCACCACGACTACTCACTCGGTCATTTTAATCTTCATCTTCATCCCCCTAAACCCAAGCCCACCATTACCTCCAACTAACTTTATTTTTCTCTCCCGATCTACTTCTCTCCCCTCCAAGCTCTATTGTTTTTACCTACATACTTACTCACTCAATCATTCAATCATCTATCTACTATCCACCATCCACCATCCACTACCCAGCTCAAGCCTCACACCCTTACACACACGCAAAGAATCCCATAATCCCACCAATAGGATCAGTGTTCGTACTAATATATGGTAGTATAACAATGGCATATGTTAAGCTTTCAATATAAGAGTTCATACATATAAAGAGTAATTGTATTACTTATATTAATATTCACAATATTGAATACTATTAGAAAGATATGAAAATATGGGAATTCGATTTGGAATGTTTATTTTTGTATCAAAATGGATTGGAAATTTATAAATATTTATCGAAATCCCTATTCCTGATCCATTTTGATACAAAAATAAACATTCCAAATCGAATTCCCATATTTCCATTCTTTCTAGTAGTATTCAATATTGAAATAATATCGAATATCTTTAGTGATATATAAATCGATATCACTTACATGAATATCCTCAAAACAATCAATACACACCACTATACGGACTAATATACGGACTAATATACGGAATACGAGCAATACTAATAAGAACACTGTAACAGATAAATAACCCCCTCTTCTCTTCTTCTTTCCCGATTCTCCATTTCTTTTTATCCATCCATCCATTCACTCATCCCTCTACATCTACCTCTCCTTTTCCATCTTTCCATCTTTCCATCCTACCCCTCTCATCCTCCTCCACTTCCACTTCCACTTCCACTTCCACTTCCACTTCATCACCAAACCCCCCTTCAAGTTCAATCCCCACTTATTTATTCATTTTATCTCTCAGAATTATATTATAAAGATAATCTCAATCTCAATCCTATACAACACAATACAACACAACACAATAATAATCTCATAAAACAACTAAAAACCTAAATACCGAAATACCCAAATAATCAAAACCAATTTAATAAGAAACATATACCATATATATACAACTATTAAATATAGAGATATAGAGATATAAGATTACATAGTCACTCTACTCTATTCTATTCTACTCTACTCTATTCTACTCTACTAAAACCCTAACTATACTCCTACCCATAACCCTACCCCCTATTCATATCGTACATTGTCAAATAAAGTTTATTGCCCAGCTAAAAAACATATACATAAATAGATAAATACTTATACATATATTTTATCTTTACGATATATATCATCTCACCTTTTTCATCTCACCTTTTTCACTTTATTTTACTTTATTTTATCTCATCTCACCTCCTCATCTTACCCCTTTCATATGTCACCCCCTCACATCTCATATCACCTCACCTTAACCCTCTTCAAATCTCATTCCATCTCTTCACAACTCACTACTACCATCCACAAACAGGCACTCATATACCCAGACACTCAGATATCGAAAGAGATAAACAATCACCACTTCAAAATTTCCATCTTATTTATTTTATCTAATCCATCCCCGTCCCCCCTCCCCCTTCCCACACTCCAATCTATTACCCCCAACACACATATCCACCATCCATCTATCCATCCATTCACCCACCCACTAAACACAGCACTAATACCCTCCACCCTCCCCAAAAATTCCATCTTTTTATTCCCCCATTTTCCTATTGATTTTCCCATTTTCCATTCCAAACGCCATAAAGCAAAAAGACCACACCACACCACACCAAGCCCATCGAACAAATTAACTACATCGAAAATCTCCCACTATACTTACTACTAGATATTTCAATATAAAATATAAATGTACTGTAGACCGATAAATCTCCTTCATACATGCATACATACAAAATATAATATGCATCCATCCATTCGTCCATTAAATACAACCACCATCTCGCAGCCCAGTGCAAGAATTGCAAATGGCATTCCATCATCCACCCATCCAAAATAAGAAATCTTTCATTCGACTTCAATACCCTCGTAATCAAATCCTCACTCGCTATCCAGCTGTAGTCAAGACATAACTTGTAATAGCACTCATCCTCTCACTTGTCAACTTCAATCCAATCCTCAATAATTCCTGAGCAACTTCCTTATCCTTTTCTTGTAAATCTTCCCAATCCTTCTTATCCATCAACCATGCCACACAATCTCTTTCCGCTACAACTGTAGCCGTACGATCAGTTTCCGAGAAAAATGGTAATTCTCCACATGTCGTTCCCGCAACTATACTTTCAAAGTAGCGACCTTGAGGTAATTCGTAATCAGCACGAAGGATACCTTCTTCAAGGAGATAGAAACCCTTTGCAGGTTCGCCACGACGGTAGAGTGTTGTGCCTGCGAGATATTCTTTACGAGTAAAGAACGGAATGACGCGGAACCAGAAATCTTCATTTTTATTGGTGAGACCTTGGAAAGTTTGAAGGATTAAGCGAAGGGGTTCTTTGAAATTAGAATATTTAATGTCAGGTACGGTAGTTTCTTCCAAAGCATTAGTAGCCATTCGGAAAAGTTGACTGCGTCTTGGAGAACTGAATTGAGTATCAAAAGAATGTGAGAATGATTTGCCGCGACTTCGACTTGAGGGCACTTCTAGATGATCAGTTGCGTCATTGCGGTTGGCGCGAGCTTGTTGACTGGCGTAAAGTGTTTTCAGTAATTCGTTTTCGCAACTCTCTAATGCAGAATTAAGATCTTGAAATAAGGTCACTTCGTTACCGTCATCAATCACTAGGCCTTGGCCAAGACCAACAGATCTAAGATGACTTCCTATAGGACCTTCTGGATCCACACCGCTGAGAGATAAAGTAACACCTTTCTTGCTGAAGATTCGATTTAATCGTAGAAATGCCTCGGCAGCGGAATAGTCAATTCCTGTAACATGGTAGAGATCAAATATCAA